GGACAAATGGAGAATCAGCTTTTGAAAAAGGGGAATACACCCTAGAGATGGGCTTGGTAGATCCAGCAGGCATCCAAGAACTTGGGCTAGAAAGCTGAGTGAACTACAAGGACCAGCTAATCTATGGCAGAAGTACTCTGGAACCTACATGGTTTCAATTGGGAAAGCACTGAAGTATGTGCTGAGGTGTGCTCCTGAACAGTCAGAAGGGATTAGAGAGTTAATCAGCACAGAGAGAAGTTGACCTGAAGAGGTCACCTCTTAGGAAAGTCCTCTTTCCTGACTGCACAGGGAGGCTTGGAGCCCTGACTCATTTTCTTCCTTCAGATCATGGGCAACACCTGGAAGTTGCGTCACCCACACTACCAAGAGCTTTTCCTGAGACGACGATGGTTAAGGTGAGAGTACGAAGAGACTTACAGCAAGTTATCACCTTCTCAAAGCACTTGGCTACATCGCCTGAACCAGGGAGCACTTGGTAACATGCTGAATGGTGGTCCTGAACAGAAATGCATTCTTCAAGGGGTGTCCCATGCTCAGCTGCACTCTCTCTCAATAATATAAAATAACAAATTAAATCCTTCAATAATTTATTTCTTTGTATCAGAGAATGTTTTTCAATTATACATTTAAGTTTGTATACTTCTTTCAACAGAAGAGTAAAGATATGTAAAAAAAATCCTAGCTGTGCAAATTTCAAGTTGCATTGTTTCAAATAATATAAATATTTTAATAAAACATATGTTCACATTAAGGTTCACAAAATATATAAAATTTAAAAGAAATAAGTCATGAGTTAATTATTTTTCTTTTTAAAACCTGTTTTTTAATAACTAGAAAAAGATTCTAAACTTGAGAAGAAACTTAGAGGAGGTAACACCTCCAAAATCATAGCAGCAAAACAGATGCTGAAAACTTGAAAGGTGTGAAGAGAGAGGAGAGAAGCAGGTACCAGACACAATGGTAAAGGCAAGTATTGCAGATTGAGAGGTGGACGCATGAACTCCAGGAGTAAAATCTCAACCCTAAAGCACTCTGTTACTGAGCTCCAAGCTGTTAGCACAGTAACAGAACTGCATTAAGGATAAAAGAAAGAAGTGTGACAGATATGGCAGGGTAGGGGTGGTACGAACAGCAGCACATATATACCTGACAGTTACAATGCAAGAGAAAAGAGCTGGTTTGGTTTCAGAACCAGAGATGAAAACAAAAGACTTCGGGGTTTTTTTGTTTGTTGGAGGCAATTCCTTCCATATGAGTGGGGAACGGCAGGACTTGGTTTTTCCATTGCATGCATATGCTTAATAAAGTTGCTTCTGTAATCACCTGTCTTTTCTAGCTGCCTTGGAATTTGGGATAGGATCCAAATGCTGGTAGGGTTAAGCATGTTAAAGGAACAGACCACTGCTGGTCTTGTTTCTGGATGCAGTTTGCTGAGGGCTCTGCAAACCCAGAACCGCTTGCTGTTAACACCCTGAATACCTGTAAAAACACCAGCAAGGACACAGGCAACCCAAAGCAAGTTTCTTCAGACATCAACTGCAAGTTGCATCAGCCTGTCCTGGGGAATCCCTCTCAGGAAGGACCTGCCTCTGATTGATGTATGCCAATGCAGAGAGCTCTTGCACCTCCACGCCCAGGAGCGGGGAAGGTATTGAGAAAGAAGCGGAATCAGGAAGTTCTTTGGACTCAAATGCTTCACACTTCCTCCTGGGAAGTCCAATAATTAAATATGGCATTGTGAGAGCTTAGTCATGAATGACAACTCTGTGCAGAAGGCAACCTGCCCTTCTCAGCAGTCCTTGTATGCAGTGTTTAGAGGAAGTAGACATTTATTCCTGTTCTTGGGAATAAACAGGAACATGGGCAGACAGCTTATATTTCCCCCCACCCCCTGAATCCCAGGACTGTTAAGTGTTTTGGACATAGCACCATTTCAGTGAAGGAAGTAGCAGGTGTTGCTTTCTTGTTCTTTACCAACTCCTCCCCTCTGCTAGCCGTAGATCTGTTTGAACTGGTAGCATTCATTGCAGTAGCCGTTGCACTTGGCATTGCCATAGTGATCACAAGCAGGGGCTCGGCAGCGTTGCTTTGGGGGTTCCTCTGCAGCGGGGTCCCTAGCACTCCTTGATGGTGTGAGGTGCTTGCACTCAGAGCACAAGTCATTGCTTCTGCAGGCCAGGTTGTTTCGACACGAAGCCACAGCACACTGTCTCTTCTGGCTACTCAATGCTGCTTGCTGCACATCTCTGTGCTGTCCCATTCTCTTAAAAAGCATTAAAAGACATTGTTAGTTGCCATGCTGGCAGCACAAGTGGCTTTTCAATTACTTTCAACTCTGCTCATGGTTTGCATAGGTAACCACTAGGGGGTTACAGACATATGCTGCTTCTGAAAAGTACAATACCAAGAGCCAAGGTGGACTTTACCACAGAAAATCATAAATTCTGCCATTTCTTAGGGGAAAAAAAAAATCTTTTTGTCTTCGGTAACTTTCAATTCCAAAAGGGCTAAAACAAACCAAATTAAAAAAAAATATGGAACAAAAAAAAGTCTGTAATGGGCTTAAAGAAAAAGGTGGCATGAAGCAGACTAAACCTCTCAATGCCATTGCATAGCTCTAAGGGTAAGAATGAAAATCTTTCCCCAGCCAACAAACAAACCAACTGCTGGTCCAATTGCTTCCACCGAAATTGCTGGTGAAATCCCGGTTGAGGTAAAACTGAACAAGGCCATGATAACCCTAAACTGGGAACAACTTGGACTTAGCAGTGTTAGGTTTACAGTTGGACTTGATGATCTTAAGGGTCTTCTCCAACCAAAACAATTCTACGATTCTGTGACTTTTAGGAGTGCTGCTCAGTTGCTCTATGCCTGTCTTTCCATGATACTTAGGATGCAGTCATTTGAGGATTTTCTAGTATGCACCCAGAGTCATTACCACAAGAGAAAAATGTGCAGTGCTAAACAAGAGGACAATTTTGAGGAGTTCACACTTACTTCTGTCTGTCTCAACAGCTGTTCTTCTGACCTCCTGGCTTCCTGAAAACGCTGGTCCTGGGCCTTAATGAAGCAGTTCTGGCAGTACCCCTCAAGCATCGTGCTTCCCAGGGTACCGCAGTCGCGCCGCTGGCAGGACACGGTGTTACGGAAGGCGGCAGCTGAGGTCCCTGTCTGAGCTGTCGCCGAGGACTTCCTCTGAGATCTCCTCTGGTGGCGCAGCAAAGCGCTGTCTGTAATGCAAAGTAGGGACAAGAGCACTTTCAATGTGCCCCATGGATCTGATGACCCAAAGCAACTATAAGAAGCTCACTGGTTTAAAAATAAAAAATAAGAATGAGAAAAAAATCTTCAATCCTGAGACCTCTCAGATGATGTACTTTCCTTCATGTTACATAAATAAGTGAGCTAATACAGCTCAATTTTCCCATCAGAAGTTGTTGGACCAGCTGATTCGAGAAAAACTTGCCCTCAGTGGGCAAACTAGATCCCACTGAAGTAATGAGGAATTTCACCTTTGGCTTCAGCATGTCATCTGTGATCTAGCCCAACACTTCCCTTTTGGCCTGCCCCATTGCAGAGGCATGGGCTAATGACAGCATAGTGTCATAGAGCTTCATGGGAAAAGTGCCTTGTGCTTTTTAGTCTCATGAAGCAATCTCATATATTCCACCATCAGAAGGAAAGAATTTTCATTGTCAACAACACTGGAAAACCAGCTATTGCAAGTTGGCGTAGAAGTTCCCCAATTTAAAAGTATGTGGAAAGTGCAGTATTGACACACTTGTCAGCAATGAAAGAGTCTTAAGAGATAAGCAATAATTCTGTCTTACATGTGCCTTTCACCCTCTATACCCAAGGGCTCTTTGCCTGTGTAACATGGTGGTAGCATGAAAGATGAAGATTTCATGACATGATTTATTTACAGACTATTACCTTTCTGAAGGCCTGCCTTTAAACACACAGGTGTATGCATGCACATCTACTACAGGTAGACTATAATACTCTCCCAAGTAACTCCAAAATACAAGCACGTCATCTACAGTTGACTTCTACTTGCTCAGTTTATCAAGGAGACTTCAGTATTTACTCCAGAGTGTTATACCTGTTACATCCAGAATGGATGTAGGTCTTCAAATTCATCCCAAGCTTTTTAAAAGCCTTGCTAACATAACTGGCTTTCAGTAGCATCAATACAACAGCACGTCCCTCACTGACCCCCTACAACTTCTAGCTGTGAATAAAATTCATACCAAACCATGAATGTAGCGGACAGTGAGAAGGGATCAGAAATCCCTCCTGAGATAATTTTGCTTCCATGAAATCCAACCGGAAGTTTTACAAGAGATTTCACAGATTTCCTACTCCATTACCACACACCCATTTACAGGACAATAATGGCCAAAAAAAGCACCTTCTTCTCACGTTGTTGCTACTGCTCCACACCGTTTCCATCACGCCCTGCCCTCTTAGCACTCTGTGCATGCAGAGCTTCACAGCTTGAGGAGGCCGACCTGCAGCCAAAGTATGCCAAAGCTCACCCCATCTCCACTTACCGTGGTTTTCCCTGTACTCAAAGAAACACAGCGTGCAAAAGCCCTCATTCTGCGGTGTCCCGAAAAACTTGCAGCTAGGTTTCCTGCAGGGGTTCCCTCCCCTTTTCTCCTCGGGAGGCAGCGCCGGTGGTGGGGGCTCCTCGCCGCAGCCATTGGGGGCCTCATGGCAGGAGTGCTGGAGTAGGCTCTGTGAGATCTGGGATGGGTCAGATGTCGATCTCTGGTGGCACATAGGTGGGAAAGCAGGCCTGCCGTTTGAGGAGTGCTCTGTAGACCTTTTGAAGCAAGCGCTGCATATGCCGTTGAAGGTCCTGTTGGCCTTCTGACAGCACACCTTGCATGTGGCATAGTCTAAAAGTCTCCGGTCATCCAAGTTGTTGCAAGGACCATGCTGTCTGGCATTGTGGCAGCGTTCGCAAAGCCCATTGTGCTGCACGTTCAGTGTAAAGGGGCAGTCTGGTGTCCTGCATTTCATGGCTGTGGTCTCACTGTACAGGAAAAGGCTCGGAGCAGTCGGAGGTGCGGAGCGAGGCCCTGTTACAGGTCCTTCGGACGCCCATCCCCCAGGTTCACAAACATCCCCACGTGAGGAACCCGACCCAGCTGTCTTCAGTTTCTCGGGTGCTGCTTTGGAGGTCTGCTTTCTTCCTTTGCTTCCCTCGGACCTCCGCTCAAAGCACTCGTGGCAGTAGGGCTGGGTGTTCACAGACATGTAGAAAGGGCAATTTGGCGTTTCACATTTCACCTGTAAGAGGGAGAGCTGGGAAAAAGACAGTTCCTGTCTGTTCCTGGGGCAGGTCTCTCTCCTGGCAGGTTCAGCGTTCTCCTGCCACTTCTTGTACTCATGCTGTACCAGTTGAAAGTAATCTTCCACAAGGTTGATTTCTTTGGGTAGGTTGCCTTCATCTAACCTGAGAGCCAGAAAAGGAAGATTGAATCAGTGGTTGAAAAGGGCAGAAGGTGGGGGCAGAGGCAAATAAAAGCAATGTGGGAAGGAAATGTAGATTTAATGCACATCCATATTACTCAGCTAGAAGATCTAGGATGTTAAACTGTTGCTGTAAATGGAAATAATTTTAAAAGCAGGTGTTCGGAGATGTCAAATGGAGACTTTCATAGCTAAAGAAATGCTCTGACAGAATACTAAACAGAAGTATTCTTAAAAGGATTTTCTAGGTGAGGGATTTCTGTCTAAGAGCTGTTTGCAGGAAGAACGTGAATAATCTCCCAGAAGCTAAAAGAAAATCCCTGCAATCCTGAATTCCTCTGAATACCAGTGCTCAGCTGAGCTGAGTTTAGCATGGAAGACCCCTCTCTTCACCAGCCCACACTAAGAACAAGCCTTTCCTACAGTGGGCTCAGCATTTCATGATACAATTTATCATGAAATCTGCTCCTTGTTTTGCCATGTTGGGTCTGTATCTACCAGCAGAATTCTTCAATCAATCACTAGTATCCATCACACCATCCCTACTCTGCCCCTGACCACAGGGAAACCCCATATCAGCGCTTCACCATGCCACAGTCAGGAGGATGAGGAACTAGCATTGCTGGTAACACTCAAGAACACATTTATGCAGTAGGACTAGGGAAGCTGGATTTACTACTCTTTATGTATGCAGGAGGACTTCAATTTTCAAGTCTCCCAAACCACCAGTCCCTGTGTGGTAATGGAAGCAAAGATAGAGGACACAGGGAGCTGCTTCCCACCCACACTCATGAAGGCACTGGGTGGACACTGTTGCCAGCATCCCCTAAATGTGAGAAGCCAATGGGTGTCACCAGCTGCCCCCTGCACATTACTGAGGCTCAACTGTCAGGGGGATAAGCGCAGGCACTGGTTCCTCCACCAGCCACAGCTTCCTGCCTACTGCCGCACTGCAACAGCCCAGGGTGTCAAGGCATCTGTGCTGAGAATATACCACCGAGTACTTTCCCTGGGGTGGCCAAAATTACACCAGCTGCCCTTTTCACAATGTGCCCTCACATAAAGTAAGAGTTTGGTCTAAGTAGTTCCTGGGTTTAACAGCTTTTCAGTCACTCTCCCGTGTAATCTAAAAGTCAGTGAATCTAATCCATTGGGTTTACTCTTCTAAAATATTAGTTTCAATCTGCTAAGTCTGAAAACATTTTTGCCTTTATACTGAGACTGGCCTGAGCTCATACCACTTCAAAGCATGTCAACAGTAATGCCAATATTTCATATTTCAGAGGGTAAACGTGGAAGGGAGGAAAGACCAAAGGAACACACCGGGCTTCCTGGCTTCTCCCACCTCCATAAACAAGATAACTTTGAGGAAACAGGAATGACACTCACTTTGCAGCATTAATTAGATGAGTTGTACCATGATCCCAGCCTTGCACTGGAATTTCTATCACTATCAAGTAGTCTTTTAGCAGCTGCTCTTTCTCCCTCTCTTCTGTGTCTGTCAGAAAGTGCACAGTCAAATCCTCAAATCTGCCTCGTTCACTGGTGACCAGAGGAACAGCCCGGATTTCTGTGGAGAAACAAGACAGATTATATTT